TGTTTCACACATTAATTTTTAAAATGTAATTTATTTTGCAATATGTACGATCATTATCTTATTGATGTATTTAACATACTCTTTAGAGATTACATAAGAATGATCTTATAACAATATATCAATCATTCTGGCAGTTCATTACTTCTTCACTGGAAATAACAAAACAATAACAACTTATGTTAAAGCTTTTTAAATCTTTCTTGAAACTAATTAAGTAAAGGATGCAAATCGAAAATTTCTAAAGAAGACACCTTGTGAGATACATTACTTAATGAGTTTAATGATAACTTGTTGTTGAATCGAAATTCTCAAGTTACCAGAACTTTCTTCTATTTAATGAGATCAATCTACCTACAACGTTAAATATTGATACCTCTTATGGTTTGAAAGTTATGTCCGGGAAAATGTTCATAGTGTTAATGATCAACAAAGGGCAATAACTCCAAAATTAGACAAGGCAAAGTTATGGTTCTTTTGCATTGCACTTCTTCCCAATGAGATCTATCTACTTACATAGTTTCATGTTGATATATCTAATAGTTTTAGAGATATGACCCCCCATAATGTTCAAAGTGTACAAATGAACAAAGGGCAATAACTCCAAAATTAGGCAAGGCAGATTTATGGTTCATTTGCACTGCACCTTTACCCAATGGTATCTATCTACCTACAAAGTTTCATGTTGATATCTCTTAAAGTTTTAGAGTGACGTCCCGGAAATTGTTCAAAGTGTAAAAATAAACAAAGGGCAATAACTCCAAAATTAGGCAAGGCAGATTTATAGTTCTTTTGCACTGCACGTTGACTCAATGAGATCTATCTACCTACATAGTTTCATGTTGATATCTTTTGTCGTTTTGTCCCGGACAAGAATAGCGGACGGACGGACGGACAAAGCGGCGACTTTATGCTCATCTTCCGGGGTACATACAAAATATTTTAAAGCAGAAATTAACGTTTATTGGTCTATAAATGAAAGCCTTATTTTAAAAATATCAACTAACCATGAAATAGTTAAATATGAAAGTTGTTGGCAAGTTTGAGATACATGGACCGATTTTACATAATAATTATATTCTTATACTTAGCAGACAATAACATTTTCAAGAACAAAATGTTATTGTTCATCGTTTTAATGTTTATACTAAATCGTTTAGAAATTAATCTCAACACTACTTTTTGTAAGCTATATTTTATAAAAAATATTCAAATGATTCATTTTTAATGCACTTATCAATATTCGAAATACGTATGGAACAAATGTGCCCGATCCATTTTAAAGTACTACGAACAGAAAATTGAAACGTTACGGATAGTTTGATGCATTGTTCATGGTCTGGTATTAACCGTTATGCTGCATGATATCATTCTGGATACTAGCACGGTTCTGCAGATTTAAAACCGAGTAACTAATGAAATGATCTATATCGCACAGTTATAGCAATGTACTACTATCTTAAATTTAAAAGATACAAATATGTACTTGGGTCCTCATCTCCTCTTGAGTCTTAATGATGCTAGCACTAACAGTCCAGAATTCTTGACAACAATGAAACAGACATTTTCTTAAGAACGCCTTAACTATATCATTAAAATCACACCAATTGGATGGAAATTGTTGCACATAAAAACGCACATGAAGCTCAAATAATCATAAGTTAACATTGTGTTACTTGTGTTCTTTCTAAAGCCATATTAACATTCTGCTACTTGGCATAAGAAGGAAATTCCGATGCTGATTTAATCGCTGTAATATTGACTTGAATTAATCAATGACATTTCTGACGGGAGACCTTTTGCAATAAATTGTTGCATTTTTACAAATAATTACTGGAAAAGATATCATAATTCATAAATGAATTTATTTAGCGTTTGACAGATTGATCTCATAAAATATTATTGGGATGTATCAATGCATTGTCATGAAAAATTAGTCTCAGATATCGGGGCAATTTTTTTAATGGAAATCGTACATTAAAAAAGAAGCTTTTGCAGAAAAGGTTTACATGAGGAATTGTCTCAGGGATGAATGAAATGGAATGGACTAATTAACATTTGCTTTAAATTTTATGTTACATGTTCAATCACATGCCTGAAGTCTCAGTCATTGAGTTTTCAACATTTTAAATTTTGATTTGGCGTTTGGAGCGTTTTTTTAGGGATTCCGTTTTTCTCTATTTTATAGCTGTTCTTCAATAAATATTTCGTTAACTAAAAGAAACTGTTAAATGAGTGCACGAATTAATTTACTGATTTATTTAATATTGCCAAAAAATTCATATAAAAAGTGTATAACACAGTGCGCTTTACAACGGAACATTGTTTTGAATAATGCTTCGGGGCAAAATTTTAACTTTTTGCAATGATATGTTCTTAAGAAATTACACAAGTGGGAATAAAATAAATCAACACAAACTTATTTAACTTATTAATTTCTAGGAAAGGTAAAATAGCAACCTTTTAAAAAAAAAGCCACAACTATATCGCCGCGACTGTCTCTGCATAAAAATCCAGTTTTTGAATATCAATTGTCTCTCTAGAAAATACAACATTTTTAATAAAGAGAAAACAGACTCAAACAGCTAAATTGAAACTGTTCACAACATCTTCTCCTAAACATTTGATAGAAAGTTTGATAAAAAATATTAAGCTTTTAATAATTTTCTGTACAAGAACATTTGATGATAGATGGATAAAGTCTGATTTAGCTTGTAGTAGTTTGCATTTTTAATGCGTATTTAAATTAAATTCCTTTTGTTTTTACTTACGATACTTTCAGTTATTGTTATTTCATGGGCGCAGCCATTTTGTCGATTATGCCGAAGTTAACCTGGTACGGCTTTATTCATTGGTTATATCTTTCCATTTTTATCCAATGTTTAATTGTTTACTTGGTCATGTGATTTTTGCACTTGTATTCACTATATAAACTCGTGCATTTCTTTATTTTGCTAGCTAGGTGTATCGGCCTACCGGTACTCCTTCGAAGCCTTAGTGCTTCAACTTTAATTTGAGAATATATTTCTCTTCATTTTATTTGTGCTTATTGCAAAATAAATAGATATATTATTGTTTAAATATCGTAGGGCAATATAATAATTCTTTCAATAAACTTATAAAATTATCGTAATCCTAATTAGAAAACATAGGTTCTATATATCTATATAATTATACATAATTGATTCATTCACACAATTAAATTTATAGTTTGAATTTAAAAACTTGATGTTGTTCGTTTGTACAAAACTATACGGCCAAAATTATTTAGAAAATATTCTATGTGATAAATCTTCACGTACGAAATATACAAAGTAGAGCCTGGTACAAGCTGTTAAGTTTCCTTTGTAATTGTAAATAACGTAAATTACGTGAACTATCCGATTTTATAACATCATAAATTCCCTATGTCCATTTATTTTCAAGTCAGAAAAACACAAGGAGTGTGCTATTATTTTCGCGGAATTTATGATATTTGTTGACAGTTTATAATCCTGCAGACATTTTGTGTAAAATAACATGCTTCTGGCAAATTCAGATCGCACGTTTATTTTCATAAGATATTTTTGAAAGGAAGTAATATTGTAAGTTAGTTTAAACATTAACAGAGTTATCTTACATCAAAGTGTCTTCTATGTAGATTACATAACTATCTCTTTTGTATGTTATCGTCTTATATTGTGGACAGTTCCTTATATTATAAGTTAGCTTTAACCTTAACAGTGGAATCTTATAATCAAAGTTTCTGCTTATGTCGTTTATAACGATATCGCTTGTTCCTGCAAATATCCTTAAAAGTTCTACTTACACTGTTATACAAAATATAGCAAATTGGGTATTATTGAAAGTGTTGTATATCCTAAAACAATATAGCTTTTTGAACTTTTTGAAAACACAGCTAAAAAATACCGTTCTTTGAATTATCAAATGTTAGAAAGGTTGCGAGGTTAATTTCCTTAAGGTTGTGATTATATATGCTTTATATCGTTTGGAGGACTGATCATTTTGCAATCGTTTCTATGTGTATAAACTAATATATAGCGTAAACATTATATGATAAATAACGAATGAATAATTATATGTACGTTTGAACGTCATGATCAAAACACGTAACTCAGAGAATGTTCTTTGAATAGTTCACTTGTAACTCTTCACGTTAATGACAAAAGAAAACATAAAAATGTGCAGGTGTACACTTTCCTAATATAACATTTATGAGTCTCTGAGAAACAGTTTAAATTATACAACAACATTTTTTTCTTTTATATATTGAAAAAATATTTTATGTTTTAGCTTTACTTTTTACATGCTTTCTATTTTTTATCACTTATGTGTTGAAAAATACACTGGTATTTAAAATACGTATTATACAATTTTGAAATAATAAGTATTAATTATGTTGTTTTGCATTTGAGCTACGGTGTAGCTCATTTCAATTTTTATTGTTTCGGTCATGTTGATTAAACCAATAATTAAATTATACTTGAAAATAACTCTTCACTGTTCAAACACAGCAATTACAAAACAGAGTATGTTAATACCAATAAACAAGCGTGATTATAAATACACTGTTTTTCTTGGAGTTGATGAAATAATTTTGTTTGGGAAACACAAAATTGTGAACAATAGGTCACCGCATTTTAAAAAGAATAGATTTAAAAAACCAAAGTCAAACACTCTTTAAGCATGGCTGCATTGTTCGTTAAGCTAGGATTTAATAGCAATTTTTGGAAAGGGGAAATACATCATAGTCATAGCTAGTTCGGTATATGTGATAATTACATAGTACAATGCGTTTAGCAATCTTTAACACTTTAGTACGTGGATACATTTTGACATAAAATGCATATCTGTTCTTATACCCTTTAAAATTTCAACATAATAGGTAGAAGAATAGCAGGAAATCCTATCCGATTATTGCAAACAACAACAACGCAAAACAAAATCAATAAAAACAACAGCAATTAAAAAGACATGCATGAATTAAAAATAAAACCACATACCACCCTATTTGTAACTCTGTAGTGTGAAGATTTTGTCACAAGGAATAATAACAGAAAAACTATACAGCAGCGCATGGCTATATAGAACCGTATTTGATTAAAAATATCTTGTTTAAATTCCAATGTTTATATTATGAGAACACCTTGTGTCTGTCAAACATACTTTTCAGTTACACCGATTTTATTTACGTTATAATAGTACTTTAGCAAAATATCTAAATCCAACCAGTTTCACTACGCTATCTTGATATTCGATTTGTCTGTTATGCAAATGCATATTTCTGATGAATCATAACGTATAATAACAAGAACACGTATCAGTTGGATCTCTTACATATAGCGCTGAACAATACTACATTAAAACGCAATCACAACACTGTATTTTGATAGAGTACGGTTTCCAATAGGAAATTGTTTACAAATTAAATGTGTTTATTATATCACAATCATTAAAACTTTATTAACATATTCTCATTGACCACATAAAGAACGTCCTTTATTATTCATTTCAATTCATATGAGGTAAACTATTATTAATTTAATAAGATGATGTTAAGATCTCTTATCATTGGCTTTCTATAGGTATTACCCTATGTAATGTGGGTTGAAAGGAGCGTTAGTTTGGTTTGATCATATCTATTTTTCTATCTTAAGTTACCACTATGATCTCTATAGTGACGTTTTGCAAGACGAGGTTCACAAAGAACGTTTATTCGGAATCTTAAATATCTGATTTATACATAAAAACATGAAACGAATACAACGTCTTACATACTGAAATGATGATGCAATAAACGATAATACACTTAAAAGCCTATACTGAATACCAATGAAAACTTTCCCTTCCAAGTATATTTTCCCCAGAAAATGCGACAACATAGTAATAGAAAAGACGTACTATTATAGAATTTTAAACAATGAGAAAACTGAATATTGCAAAAACATTTGTCTTGTCAATGTTAACTCCGTTTATTATCAGTTATCAAAGGGTGTAACCATTTATATTTTACATACAGTTTCAAACAATTGTATACTTATATTGCAAACATTTCTGAAAATATAATATTTAAGAATATTGCAAGTAAATTATTATCAAAAAATAAAGTAACGTTATGCTAGATAAAGAAGTCAACAAAATAACAAATACAGCTTGCTTATCCCTAATTTTGTTATAAACATGAATTTGAATTTTCTGGCTGGGGATATGTTTGAATGAGTTGAGTTTCAATAATAACTAGCTCTTGGCAGTTGGAAAGTGACTTATTTCAATAAAATATAGTTACGGTTTTCATGAATGAAAATGGTCCCACGTGTTTTTACACACGTATGAAATGCAAGTGTTATCTAAACAACTTAAAGCGTGAAATCAGGAAGAAATCAAGTGTTTTCTCTTTGTTTCTTTGATATTGTTTTTTGTTTCAAATATTTTTCTTTTTTAATTTAATTCATACAAGAATAATCAGTACACTTTAAAAAGTAACTTAAACTTAATAATGGAATAAATCTACACTTGGCATACACACAAATCAAGAGTATTTATTGTTTCTCAAACAATATTATGTGAAATAAATGCACCATCAAAATGATGTATTATTTAGTTTTGATTGATTTAAAGCATTGTGATGACTTTTATGGTATACATGTATTATAAGTTTTAATTATGAAATTATACTATAAAGATTTTAAAGATTTTAGAAAAAAATCTATGCCATAACAAATGAATCGCCTACGTCAATACGTTCAATACAGTAGTTTCAATTTAATTAACTAATAAACGAAGTACAAATATTCAGTTAACTCGGTATCTCAAAAACTGGCATTGTGCATTTGCATGAGAAATAAAGATAATATGATATATACATTTTTCATTGTATACCTTTCTTTGCTGACTTTTATTGAAACTTAATTGTATAGATCTCAATTTGCACAAGTGTGGTATGTTGCATTGCTCTAGAAATGTTCTTTACTGAGATCTTTTATATTAAGCAAAGGGTCAGTGACAATGGTTCAAAGTTGACCTATACTAAAACCTGTGTAGAAAAATCTTTTCACCGTCTCAGTTCCAGTAGTTACGACTTGTTTTACAAAATGAATGACTTTTAACTTTCGAATTGTACACTTGTGATTTTGTACTCTGTTTATAAATACAGGAATAGTAACACCGGATTAAGAATTGACTGCGACATTATCTCATTGACCTTCTTTTCCTACAAACGTCTTTAACCAATTGAC